TCAATTAAACTTGGTAATAAATGACTTATAGAAAAAATTGTTAACTAACAAAATTATTTACAAATTCTTAGCAAACTTTTTAAATATTAGTTCTTAATATACAGTAATAAAATATATTACATTAATATAAATACTTACCATAAAAAGCTGCTTCAGAAACAATATAACGTTCGTATCAGAATAAATGTTAGAATTTCGAACTAAATATTAAATTATAATTTCGTATTAAATAAAAACAATAATACATTCTTATTATGGAATACGTTTAACATCTTCGGTCAATAAGAATCAACTATAAATTTACTGGTCATTGGTCAAAGGGTTTTTGGTCAAACTGGTCATATTTTTTCTAAGTAAATTTTTTTGAAACTTTAACCAACAATAACTTAACAAAAACTTTATCAAATTAATAAAATTTTTTTAAAATAAATATTACAAATTGTAGAATTCATTTAAAAAATTTTTTATTAAATTTGATAAAGCTTTTGTTGAGTTATTGTTGTTTAAAGTTTCAATAAAAACAATTTGCTTGATTTCTATTGACTCACCCCTATTTATATTTTTACTTTATCGCATATAAATTACATGTGTAAGGAATTTTTTAATATAAGGAAATACACCATGGCAACGATTGCGAAAAGAGTTAAATCAAAATCATCGTCTCATCTCATACTTTCACCAGAGAATATATTACGTTGGTTTAAAGAGGCTGTGTATCAGACATTTTTAAAGAACATTGCTATTAAATGTTATAAAAACGCAGAAAGAGAAGTAAATAATTTTAAGACTAAACAGGTACATTAATAATTAGATAAATATTGTATTAAGCTTATTAAGCTGATGATTTACTATAAGCCTCGGGCAACCAGATCTTATAATTAATTCTTTACCATTTGTTGAGTTGAAGTTTCAAACAACAAAGTTTTGTTATTACTATTTAGATTGATTAAGTTTTGGGCAACCAAACTTTATCATTTCCACTCATTGAATTAAAGTTTCGGGCAACCGGGCATTACATTATTATTTCGCTTCCTTATCAAATACTATTAAAGTTTCAGGCAACCAGACTTAATATTTATCACACTCATTACTATACCTTTTTCTTACTACAGTACTATATATTCCAAATGAATGATTAATTTAAAATCTTTGATCAATAGAACTTTCTACTTTATTTTATTTATTTATTTTAAATAAAACCATATGCAATGAGGATAGAAATTTTTATTAAAATTTAAATTAATTATTATAAAGAACTGATTCTGTTTGTATTTTATTTCAGGCAGAAAGTAAGCACTTTTGTTTCTGGTATCTGGTTGGGAAATGGAACCTCAAAAAGATAGCAAAAGATGAATTTGCTTCATCATCAATTAATATAAGAAAAAGAATTCAAGATTTAGAGAATCGTTTACGATTTGCAAAATGTGTCAAGGTATTAAATTTTTAAGTATTTGGAATTATTTTAACACTCATTCACTAACTACAATATATTAGACCAGTTTAAAACCAAATAATGAGCTTAATAAATTCATTAAAGCCATTATAAGTTCTGATTTGGAACAGTTGCCAAAAATAAACTGCTCTGAAGTTGGCACATCAATACTGATACTATCCTACCCATTGTGTTTGATCATTTTCATCTGAATTCAAACAACATCGTATAATTAATTGTAAATATAGATTTATTCTTCCTGATGATGCTAAAATTTGGTTTGAACTTAGTTGAGAGTCTCTTACGAATGATTTAACATCACCGAATCTAAACAAACTAAAGTATAATAGAGAAGATGAAATATTTTTTTTTACAAATGTTATACAGTATGTGAGTATTTAATTTTAGACGTTTTTATTAAACGCAATTCTGATAAAAGATTTATTTTAGTCAAAATATATTTTTAAAATACAAAGATATTACTATAATGGAAGTTTCTGAGGAAATTTGGTTGACAGATACAATTCATCAATTTTTAGAATCTGCTGTGTGCGATATTCCTGGGCTGTCTGTTCACTCATAAGCTAAAAAAATTAATTTAGCATATAATGAAGAAATTTTAACCATCTAATGCTAATACTTTCATATTTTAGCATATGTGCTACTCTTTTGAGGCACCTTGGAAATGAAGAAAATCGTAAATCAGACAGAACTGTAAGATTAAAACTTGAAGACAATCAGAACTGTAAGATTAAAACTTGAAGACAATCAGTTCGAAATTCTATATGTAGAAGGTACAAACCCAGAATTGAAAGGAAGAAAGTGTCAAGAAGACGCAGAAAAACTCCAGCAGCTTATAAAACTAAATCTTGATGAACTTCTAAGAAACTTTC